AAAAAAAACTCGCTGCGCGTTATTTTAGTTCATCTAGTTATTGTTTTATTATCAAAAATGTATAGATTTTTTATATAACTGCCTCAAGAATAACAAAATAAATATTTTATCGTAAATTTACTGTTTTATTATCGACAATGCAATAATTTACTTACCTACTCAGACAGCACAAAACGTCTTCAGGATCATCCTGAATATGTCTAGGATGGTTCAGGATATTTGTAGGATGTTTTAAGATATTATTATAAATATATTTTATGAAAATTTAATATGCATACATGATTACTTTCGGTTATGTAGGCTATTTAATATAATTTAGAAATTTTAAGTATTGTAATAAGTATTAATGTCCTATAAATGTCCCCTGGATAACCCCTGGATGTCTGTAGGATATCTGCCCTGTCTATTATATTGGATGTCCTTTGGATTTCCAGAGGATATATACATGTGCAATTAATTGTTAACATTAATTTCGTTTATTATTAATAATTGAATTTGATGCGCACATTTTCATATATTCAAAATTATTATTTATTTAATATTTCATGAGAAATGTTACTATGCGCAACATTCCAAAAACTTTACAAAAAATAGTATTCAACCGCTAGTTCGTTTGTTTACCGCTATGCGACGCGCGAACTCGTATTTGAGATTTGGTCATGAGAATTATATAAAGCTTGCAAAGAGCAACTAACAGGAAATTAAAAATATAATTATTTTTTATCAGTTCAATTTCTGATGCAATCTTAACATAGGGAATTCAGATATTGGATTGTTTTGAAATTATTACACGACTCAAACCCGGAAGCCAAACCTAAAATATTCATGTACAGCACGAAAACGTCAAATTTTAAAGAACGTGAACTATTTTTAGTATTAGATTTTTAGTATTGGCAGTAAATAATAGAACGCAATCTTAATTTATATTTAAATTTTAGAATTTGTTCCTTTTAACGTATGAAAAATATCCCTAACATATCCTATAGAAATCCTTAAGATGTTCCACAGGATCTCCCTGGATTCTCCAGAGGCTAGTGTACGGCTATCATTTACTCTTCCTCAGGACATCCAGAGGAGATCCGAGGATTAAAATAGGATATTCTCAGGATATCCTACATGTATGTCCTGGATGCCCCTTTGGACGTCCTAAGGACATCCTTGTGCTGTCTGGGTCTAGAATATATATATGTTATTCTCGCGATAGAATAGAAAAAAAGATTAATACTCCAATAAACCGAATTTTGTTTGATAAAACGATTGTAGAAAAAAGAGAATATTTCGGATTAAATAGCTTTTTGTATATGTTTTTATAATTTTCATTAAACATTATGTACAATAAAATTATATTTTTTATATCGTACAAGATATCTGCATTAAAAATTGTTTTTCCCTTTCCCATTCTTAAAACAAAGAGTATAAATCGAAAAGAGCAATGCTAAATAATAATTTTAATTTAAAAAGGAATTAACATAATCTTACGTAAATATACTACAAGTACCGATAACATTGATGTTTATTTCAATAGTGCGCGGTAGCGCGGTAGATAACGCTTGGTCTCTCACGACACAGATCGGGGTTCAAATCCAAGCGATTTTTTTTACTATTTTTTAAAGTTTATCATACATTCATACATTCATTTATTTATTAAATGTGATTATATTTTAAGAAATATGTTTAAAATATTTATGTCTTTTTCAAACTATAATTACATATTACAAATTGCAAATATATGTAAAAAAATTTTATTATAAATAAAAATAGTTTATTTTCATTTTATATATATACAATAATCTATAAAATATATATTATATAGTTTTTTACAGAAGAAAAAAAATGGAAATCAAGATTATGATACACGGAGTATCGATAGTAACAAAGCAACAAATCATCAAGTCTAGCAGGCATCCGTCTGACGTATTTTGTATTTATTCACTTTGTTATCTATTATCCTAGTATTATTGATCATCATACAATATTTAATTGCAGATACAATTTTAACTATAATTTAAACATATATATCTACATATGTATATACGCAAGTATAAAATTCTTATAAAGTGGGCGCTTATTAGCCTTGTTGCATTACTGCTGTCACGAGAGGCCAGAAAGCATTTTCAGGCCGTATTTCGGCCGTAAAGCGATACGCTAGAGGAACAAGGATAGCACGCGATTGTCGCTCCTTGTCTGACATTATCTCCCAACAATCACATCCGTGTGCTCAACGTGTCGGTGTATGCCTTCACGGACGCTACACACATACGCGATGAAAGAGAAACAAAGACAGCGCATCATCTCTCTTTGTCAAACGATCAGTGTACTACCAGCATCGACAATATCGAAAAGTGGATGTAGCACGGATATGAACCAAAATCGAAAAGTGGATGTAGCACGGACATGAACCAAAATCGAAAAGTGGATGTAGCACGGACATGAACCAAAATCGAAAAGTGGATGTAGCACGGACATGAACCAAAATCGAAAAGTGGATGTAGCACGGACATGAACCAAAATCGAAAAGTGGATGTAGCACGGACATGAACCAAAATCGAAAAGTGGATGTAGCACGGACATGAACCAATCGGCTGTTTTATCGGCTCCGAAAATGGATGTGGCCATGTAGTTCCAGGCACCAGAAATAAGTTGGCGCTGGAAGTTCATATTTACAAATTTCACACATTTTATTGTTTCACGTATATGCACTTTCTTATATACTTTTAAGGCTATTGGCTGAAAAATATTCCTTTTAACTTTTTATTATGGTTGTACAATATTGATAAAATTGTGCCGATGACCGTCGATTACAACGATAATTGTCGTTATAAATAACATACAGAATAATTTTGCTTTAGCTATATCAATGGCCGCGTTCAGCAGAGAAAGCGCTTAGTTATCGTCTTGTCAACACTCGACGTTGATTCGTTGGTTCTAAAAGTAAGAACCAATCACATTCGATTGCTACTAAGCGGTTTTCTCTGCTGAACGCGACCAATAGTTGTCGGTCATACAAGCGACAATTGTCGTTACTTTACCGATCCGACAGCTATCGGTAGCCATGTACAAAATAGCGCTCCAAGCGGGATTCTCTAAATATCTTAGCGACGATTATCGTTGTCGTTAGCGAGCGATAGCCTATAAGAATTGCGCTTTTCACCAGAATTGTCCTTGCCATTGGCTGTCGCCAGTTAACGATACCGAAAACTGTCGATAACAAGTTACTGAATCCCGCTACAGCAGATCGGAGTACCCAGATTGCTCTGCGGCGCTGTTTCTTGGTTTCGTTTTCGTTTCACCGCTTGCTCCGCCGCCATCACGAAAAACGACAGTTGGAGAGGTTGGTTTACCTCGGTGTTTCTCTTACGCGGTAGTTACGTCCCATTGCGAATCGTACAAATGAAGATGGTGGATAAGATAGAAATGAGTCTGGACGACATCATCAAACAGACTAAGGGGTCTAGGGCACGAGGCAGCGGTAGACGCGGCAGAGGCGCCGGCAATTCGCCCCGTAGAGGAGCACGTAGGGCGCAAAGGGTCGGCGGTGGCGTCATGCGAGGACGCAATCGCGGCGGTATTGCACGTAGCTCTTTGCCATACACGAGGGTAAGAAAATGATGAGCACTTCATCGAGTATTTCATCGAGCTTTCCTCTACTGAATTTTCCCGAAATATATGTAACGCGCGTATATGTCACACGCGCGCGTATGGTATGTGTCCAACTTGTGTGTTAGTACGCACGCGTATGTATATGCGTATGTATATGCGTATGTACACGTATGCGTCGGTTACGTGTATATCATGAAATGGAATAGTTTCAAAATGCTCATTTCTATAAAGATTCACTTAACATTGTATTGAATCGGCTCGCTGAATAAACTCTATACAAATACTCGCGGGCGTGTGCGTTAAATAAATATAGAATCCACTTTTTATAGCAAAACTTTTTTAATTATTTTACACAACACGTTTCTCTCTCTCTCTCTCTCTCTCTCTCTCTCTCTCTCTCTCTCTCAAGTTTTGGCATTAATTTTCTTTATAATCAAACATCCAATATTGACAAAAAAAGAAACTACATTTTGTTAGGAATTATATAAAAATTTTTCTACTTTAAAGAGAATATAATTTATAGGAGCAACTTCTCTATCTTCAATAAAATTTATACTTTATTGTATAGGGTGATGTAAACAGCGCTTGGAAACATGACATGTTTGATGGTGTAAAAAAGGTTGGTCGTGGTATAATAGGCAATGCAGGAACAACCAAACTTTTGGTGTCAAATCTTGATTTTGGCGTATCAGATTCAGACATACAGGTACTAAAAGATATTGTACATACAGTAGTTTTTGTTTTTTCAGTATCCTAAATAAAATTACAAACCAAACATATGATTGGTCTATATAAAATCTATATAATTTGTTTACCCATGTGCAGATTTGCAAAAAGATATTGATAATAATTATTTTATCGATATGAACACTTGATGCTCAATGTATCAATTTTCATAGCTATAGATTTAATTAACATATTTTCATACAGAAAATTTCACGCAGAGAATTCTAATTTGCTGTGTTAATATGTTTTAGGAATTATTTAGTGAATTTGGACCTTTAAAATCGGCAGCAGTACATTATGATAGATCAGGTCGTTCTCTAGGTTCTGCAGATGTCATATTTGAAAGACGAGCGGATGCTATCAAAGCGATGAAACAATATCATGGAGTACCTCTAGATGGTATGCATCTAAATATGCACAATTGTGTTCAGTCTTTAAATCTTTTTTAATTATAAAATTGCATCTATATTTAAATATCGATATCTCTTAATTGTCTAGTTTTTTCCAGTTCATATCTTGCAACATAAGCATTGAGCATTATTTATTTGATTATTTTCAAAAGTTGTGCAATACATGGGGCAACATTAGAGAAAATGTTGCAGAGATTATTGTGAACTATGATTTGCATGAATATGTTTTGCATTCGTTATTCCAATGTATGATGTACGTCGGCAGGTCGGGAAATGAACATACAAGTCGCGACTTCTGAATTACCAGTCACTTCTATCCGTGGTGGTCCAAGACCAAGTGGTACTAGTTATACACAGAGACCTCAGACCCGTTTCAGGGGGAATCGTGGCACAGGATCAGTCAGAGGTAATTTGTTAATGCAATTTAATTATGCAATTAAATTATCTAAAAGTAAAATTGATAGCGTTTTTAATCATATGATATTATTATATGATTAAAGACCACTAAATATATTTTAAATAATAACTTTACAACACACATTTATACCAAGGAATAATTTTCAGATATATATATATATATATGATTTTATTAAATTTAAGGTCGTGGGAGTGGTCGGCGTGGAGGTAGAGGAGGCACTCGACAAGCGACAAAGACACCCACAGCTGAGGAATTAGATGCGGAATTAGAAGCATATGTGAAGGAAGTCAAGTAACAATGTCACAAAATTCTCTTTACTCTATTCAGATTTTGTTCAAATTGACTTAACACAATACACATTGTTGCCCTTATTTTCATGAAGCATACAATACAATTATATCAAGATATATATGTATACATACATACATATATGTCGCTCTCTCTCTTTCTAGTAAAATGTAAAGAAATTTTCATTAATTTTTAGTTTTTATTTTTGACGATTCTTTCGAAAATTGGTTAAATTAGTTTTACACAATCTCTACAAATATCATTCATAGACGTTCATAGATTTTTTTTATGTGATACAATAAGAAAGTTAAAAAAGAACAAACTTATAATTGTAAAGACTGTATGGATTTGTATGTACTATCGTGCGTGTGTGTTCATCAGATGAAAAATACAATGAGATGCATCTCGAAAAGTTGTTGTTTATCAAAGTACAGAATGTGCTTCTAGCCCTCACAATCTGATTCTATTCTAAGTGTCAAGTATCAAAAACTTGTTTACTATACCCATTTAGGGTAGTGGTTGATCTTAGAATATGAACGACGAGAAAAGATATTTTTGTAACCCACATTTGGTGGATTTTTTCTTTAATATATAAATAAGCATTATATAACTGTGCTTAGTGCATAACTTATAGTGGATTAAGGCTGTGACGTGTACTGTTAACTAGTCACATACCGATAATATATTTAATTACACAGTGATGGACATGTAAGAAAATGTAAACATTTTTAATCGTGCAGCGTACAAATTGCAATCAAGTGGTGCAAGACTGAAGAAAAACTAATGAAAGATACTCTTAATAAAAAAAGATTATTTTTGAAGTAAAAAAGTTTTTATTACCTACCTAAAGAGAATTCTTAACATATGATTCTTTTGACGCTATCTTACTTACTGTTATATTCCATAATTTGAAATGTATAGATATCTCAAGATTTAACTTAAAAATGTGCACGCCATTTTCAATAAAAAGATATTTAAATTTTAGAAAAAACGTGGATAAAATGTGAATACATATATGTACACATTTATTTCACAATTCTTGTTAAAAAATACCAACACTCAAGATATATTATGCGAAGACACATTTTATTTTACTTAATCATATATCATTTTGTACATATGTAAAAATATTTGCTAATAGCATAGAGAAAAGGCTATTACTATAATTCAGCCCGCAATTATAGAGATTGCTACAGAATTGTACTTCATGTTCCACAAAATGTAGATCAATTTTTCTTTTTCTCGTGTTTTTGCATACTAGAAATATCAAATTCTCTATATATCATAGTTAATAATAAGATCAGTCATGTTTAGATAATAAAATTTTACTATGCAATAATAATTGTATACAATACGAGGCAACATTACCCCATATACCAATATTTTCAATTACAAAAGACAGATAAATAATGATTTATTTTTATAATCTTTTCAGTGTTCTCTTCCTGTCTTTTAACATTTTTTTCTTTTCCGCTGTTAATTTCTTATCACCTGCATGTTTTTTTGGAAGGGGTCCTCCGCTTTCCGAAGAGGCACAACTTTCCAGACCCACTTTACTACCTTTTCCACCTCCCTAAAGAAATCAAATAATCTCATATCAGTGAAATTAAAGAAAGCCTTATTAATTTTCAAGATAAAACATTTACCTGTGCATGTATCTCAGTCATCATTTTCGCTCGCTCTGAATATTCATCGTGACTTTCTAAAAGCAATTTGCCAGCCTCCTCGTTTAAAGCAGATTCAGGATTTGGCACTATTAGCAAACATTTTACAGTCTAGGAACAAAATATACAAATAATAAGCAAATATTTGCAATGTGATCTAATCATAATCACATACCAGTAATATATGTTGTATTCCGAGATCTGGTTTCCAATCCTTTTTTAAAGTATTGACGCATATCTCGCCATTTTTTGCTACATTGGGATGAAAAATCTTTGTGAGGAAATAAGCCTTTGGTGGTCCTTGCGGGAAGTCTTTCCCAAGAGCTAATTTAACTCTAAAGAAACCACCGGCGTACGGAGTCCCAGCTATTAGAAGAAGAAAAATGCGTCCAGATATATTAATCTTATTTATAGGGTAATTCTAAAAGTTACTGATAAACTTCAGGAGCGTATAGAGAGGTCGAAATATAGCAACTTTCAAGTAGGCACTCATGTTCTCCGAAGTAACTCTGAGTCGGTACAAGTCTTTGAATGTAAGGAACTACATTATGGACAACATACTAATGAAAGAAATAATCCTAATTTGTACAAAATTTAATAACTAAGCAAAGGTTACATGAACACAGTAATACTGTACAGTATTACAAAAGGTGTTTGAAGTGGCGACCACTATATTCAATGCAGGCATTGTTGAACTCTGGCACACTCTCTCAAATACCCCAGGCATCTCCTGGATCATGTCAAATGCTGCAAGTATTCTGACTACAAGTGTTTTTGGGTTGTCCACTGGTATCTTGTAAACGAGACTTTTGATATGTCCCCAAAAGAAGTAATCAAGCGACGTCAAATCAGATTTGTATTGACTCAGGATTACTTTGAAGAGCATGGATTCCCAGTCAAACGTTGCTCCTCCTCTATACGCTCCTAAAGTTTGTTAATAACTTTTAGAATCACCCTGTATGTATCATATTTTTTTATCAATTATAATTGAGACTTGCACAAGCACAAAATTCAATATGAATGAATGAGATGTGGGTTAGATTAGATTAGAATTAGATTGAATTTATTTAGATTAGATTAGGTTATGGTCGATAAAAGGATGCTTCGTCCCGAGAATCTATCAACCATAACCGGACGATAATCAAGGACCGAGAAAGCACGAGAAGCCAAGAAAGGTCGATCAATCTTACATGGGCCTTCGATGACAGCTTGAATATCGGTGACGTCCGCCTCGTTCAAAATGACACGAATACCCTCGGGTGGTTGCGCGACCAATTCTGCCATCTCCTTGGCCACCCGGCGAATAATTTGCGGCGACAAATTTTCCACATTCTGCAAGAACGTACGATTCGCGGTATCGGTCTCACATGCGGCACGAACATTTCAGCACGAAGCGTGCGCATTATAAAGCGTAGATGGTAGGTAGGTAGGTAGGTAGGTAGGTAGGTAGGTAGGTAGGTAGGTAGGTAGGTAGGTAGGTAGGTAGGTAGGTAGGTAGGTAGGTAGGTAGGTAGGTAGGTAGGTAGGTAGGTAGGTAGGTAGGTAGGTAGGTAGGTAGGTAGGTAGGTAGGTAGGTAGGTAGGTAGGTAGGTAGGTAGGTAGGTAGGTAGGTAGGTAGGTAGGTAGGTAAACAGGTAAACAAGACGTCGCGCGACGTATTGCCACCGCGATGAATAAATGCGTTTTCGCTTTGCAGTAACTAATAACGAATACTCACGGAGCTTACGGCGGCAGCCATAATCGCCGAAAGCTTGTAGCGTAATCTCGGCCAGGCCTCGCGTGCAACCACACGTTCTCTGTCTAACTTTCGAGCGCGCAGTGTAAGGTGTAAGGTGTAAGGTAGGAAAACGCTTAACGTCACAACATTAGCACGGCATCGTCCGCAATAACCAACATTTTAAACTGACAGCTGACAGCCAATCGCGTGCCAGATTCGACCATACTCTCGAAGCTAGAAGTCGATTGTTGTTCTTCCCCTTCCCCTCTTCCTCCTCCTGGCATTCTATCGTCACTTTCTCTCTCTCTCTCTCTCTATGCCCCCTGGATTCGACCCGTCCTCTGACGTTTTGCGCTTGTTTTTTTTGACGCACCTCGCACGTACGGCTTGTCGGCGTCGCTGATCCCAAAAAAGCAAATCTAGCTATCTTTCGATAACATTACGCGCATCTTGAGATGATGATACGTGGATAGACTTTACGGATACGAATTTCCAGCGAAACAAAATTCTTTTTCTTACAATCTTTGACGACTTAAAACTCTACGCGTCGCAGCTTTGCGGCGTACTGCATCCTGCATCTTTTCCTTCCCCCTCTTCAAATCGCTGTGGTGAAGTAAGCTTAAACGCCGCTGTTATATCACGAATTTTCACACAATGACGGATGATGGAACGATCGAAAAGGTAAACTAGCTTTAATTAATTACATCTACTTTATTATATGATTGAGAATTGCGACTGACAGATGCAAAAATATCTCTATAATCTCTAAATAACATTTTTATACTTGGTATGTAATAAAAAATCAATGACAATAAGACTCAATTTCGCCTGCTGATAGTGCAATATTATCTTAGGAAAAGCACATGAAACAACTAAAGCGTAAGATGGAATGCTGGCGAGAGATAATACTGCCCTTGAATTCCATTCTGCTATGGGAACGTAGCTGGCACCCTGGGCTGATTGTCGGACTTGTAACAATGATATTCTGGTAAATTAAATAATTTTTATATAATCGAAAACTATATCTTTTTTTTTAGAATTCACCAAAATTATTGATTATTCTTTTCGTTATATATTTTTTATCCAATCCAAATTTGAAATTGGTTTTCCCTCGACGAAAATCGCTCAAGGCACTTTGAGACAGATTTCTAACAATTACAAAAAAAAAAAGAAAAACGACGACAATGTGCTCTTTTATTAATTTTATATGAATAGATTTTATAATATAGAATCGTGTTAATTTATAATTTTTAGCTATAAAGAAAGATATACAATATTAGAAAATTTTTCAGAAAGTTATAAGAAATTATAATAATTTTTGATATGAGGAAAAATTATATATATTTCTAAATTAGCCAAGGATATACTAGATTATATAAAGTCGTTTTGGGCTATCCTATATAGACTTGTTAAAATAGTAATATTTCTCCTATTACAGTATAATGTGGATTCTAGAACCAACCCTACTGACGATGATATCTGTATGTCTGTTAATATTTGCTCTTGTTGATTATCTTGCGCCGATTTTGACCTCAATCTTGTGCAACGTACAGAGTTGGACAGGACAGAAGGAAAAGAAGCTGATTGAGGTCTGTCAAAATCTCTCGACCACTATACTACAAATACAAGGCACATGGATGTGCATCTCGAAAATTCGACATGATCGTCCTAATATCGTAAGTGTGCGTCATCTTTAATTTACTCTATATGTCCAGTGAATCATGGATATATAAGCAATATAGACGATTTCTTTAAAAGGAAAGATTTAGACATCTAAAACACTTGGAAATAATTCCTCTTTGATAGATTGCATAGTTTTTGAGAAAAAACTATATTTGTATTTCAACATTGACTATATATCTAATAATCACATTTGTAAAAGTATATTTGTAGGGTAGTGTTCTTTGTAATAATTAATAGATCTGCTACATCTTTTACTATAATCGCTCGTGTACTAGAAGTATATAAATATATTTGTACAATTATTAGATATTGTCCTGTATCGAGAGATCAATGTCTACCATCATATGAGATATATATGGTATCATATAAAAAAATTCTAAAACTGTAAATAAAAACTTGTTATTTGTCAAATGTACATTAGAATTAATATATAATTAATGAGATGCAAAATATATTTTTATTTTTTTTTTATCACAATTATGTAATAAAAGAAAGAGTTCTTACTGTTTTCTAGTTTCACGAAAAATTAATTTGCCGATACTACGAGATTAACTGGATGTATTATATATAGATTGCATTTAAAAACTAAGAAATTACTTTAGCTTTTTTTATTCTCAACACAGTACTACAGTGCAACAATCCTCTGTCTTATTCTCTTTGCATGGATTGGTAACACAGTCAACAATTTGCTTCTACTTTACATCATAGGTAATAATACAAAAAATGCATTTTTTTTTTGGCATTGCATCTGATATTATACCGTGTAAAATTTGTTTCAGTGAATGCAATCCTTCTCACTCCAGGATTCAGACACAAAGGACGAGCGCGCTGGGCTATGAGATATGCATATAATCATTTAATTCACCGCCATTTATCATAATTATCGTTTTATATGTGCCCATCAAAACTCTTCATTGTGCATACATTCTGCCTTTAATCCACCCTTGATATTTAATTCATTCATATTATACTGCAAAACATTTTACAAGTTTACATGTATATCTCTTGTATTAATTTCATTCTATGAAGAATAATCAAAGTTCTCACTCTCTAATTAAGTAAAAGAGATCGATATAATACAATACGCTAAAAAAGAATACAATTATCTTTATCATTCTAAATATAAGAATTAATCTCTTGTTTGCCATATGGATTTTGTATCTTGCATAATAGAGTTATACTCATTAGTCTATTATATTGTTTTGTCACTTGTGAGAATTAATAAAAGACTTATGTTTTACCAGATTAATTTAAGTTTTACTTAGAATTGTATATATTATAATTGTTATTTATTGTTGTTTTCTACAGTATGTAAAATATATCTTTGGTATTAAAATATATTGTATGAATAAAAAGAGAAAGATGCTTTCATGTATTATGTATTATGACAATAAAATGGGTGTTTTGTGAATGACATTGGCTTTAAAAATGCTGCTAATTGAAAATGAAATATATAAGATGTATACTATCGGTGAATATGGACACACACCTCTTCCCAATGATGTAAATTAAAAACCAAGTGCCCTCATTCTTAGTACTTAGATAGATTAAACAAATGATTTCAAAATCACTGCACTAATTATAATTAATCTTGTAATCTTACAATAGTTTGGCCCATTTTTCGGAAATTATTTTTCTGCAACAAAAATATCGGGACAATATGGTCTTCAAATGTAGAGTTAGCGCGCGATTGAAAATAAAATAATTTTTGCAAATAAATAACAAGAAATATTCATTAATTAATGTAAGACAAATTTCTTTTCTTTTTCTTTCCTTTTATTTGGTCACTTCTAATCTAAAGTGTGATCAGGACATTCAGGCCAATAACTGGTTAAAATAGAAGAGTAAGATAGAAAGTAGGAGAGTGGAGGAGAGTCAGGCTATATGCATAAATTATAAGATTTAAGGAAGGAGTGTAGTGCGTGAATAACCCCGGAGTGCGTGAATAACCCCGGAGGAAGGTTTTTTTTAAAATGTCTTGTATCTTGAATGGCGGAGTTTTCTTGAGTTTGTTCAGCTGGGGTAGAAGTGACGTCCTTTGTGCGTGGTAGTGGGGACAGCTCCAGAATATATGATCCGCGTCTTGAATGGGAAAGCCACAAGAGCAAGAAGGGTCTGTAACCAAATTGCAGCGGTGTAAGCTGTAATTGAGAGCGTAGTGATCGCTTCTAAACCTACAGCAGATGACAATGCTGTAAGAAAAATCTTTAAATATATTTCAGAGATAAATAATTTAGGGAGGGAGGGGGAGGGGGGGAGAGAGAGAGAGGGGGATTTTGATTGATTGATTGATCTTTATTAGCTTTCTCAGCTATTTGTAATACAAATCTAGTTTACATTAATTACAATATACTCCTTTAACATTCGCTTAAACGGCACAATTCTTTCATTCCGCTTTATTTCAGCTGGCAAGGCGTTATACATTTTCACTCCTTCGTAAAACATACTCTTTTGCGCACTCCTTGTTCTGCGATATTTTATTGCAATATCCCCAGCTTGTCGTGTTTGCCTTTCACTCTCATTTCCCACAATTTCTAATCTATTTCTTAATTGCTCCGGTAACATGTTCCTTAAAATCTTAAAAATAAATATACACACATTATAATATAGCCTCTGTTTTATGGACATAAACTGCAGCGCTTGCAGCATAAGCTCCACTTTGGTATGTCTATCACATTGCAAGATGATCCTCATGGCCCGGTTTTGTGCTTTTTGCAACTTACTCAGCTGTGTTTCTCCCATATCAATTAACAGCGTCGCACAATACTCAAAGTGAGGTGCTATAATTGTCTTATATACAATACATCTAGTGTATGCCGATATATAATTACCTATTCTATTAAAAAAACTCGTTTTTTTACCTATTTTCTTTAGCATATAATCACAGTGGTCCTTAAATCGTAGTCTATCGTCAATAATTATGCCTAGGTATTTCATTATTTCCACACGTTCAATCTCAGTTCCATCCAAACATTTCAATGTTATATTACCTCGCAGTTCTTTTCTTATACTTCTAACAATCATATATTTCGTTTTTCCTGCATTCATTTTTAACTTATTTATATTCATCCACTCTTCTACTATAGTAAATGCCATATTCATTTTGCTCTCTAATTCCGCGCTGCTTTCTCCAGTTACATATATTAACGTATCATCTGCAAACATTTTTATACTACATCCTTCTGGACAGATTTTTATTATATCATTTATATATACTATAAATAACAAAGGTCCTAATACAGATCCTTGCGGTACTCCATATTCTGTGGTCATTAATTTAGACCATTTATTATTAAATTGAACCTGCTGTGTTCTATCCTTTAAATATGATCTTAACCATTCTATAACTTCCTGAAAGCGGACATTTTATCATTGCTGCAATTCCACAGCAATGATGCAGCAACATTTTGCAGTGAATTTGCAAAGTTGCAATATTGCGGTGAAAGATTGCTACAATATGTATGCAATCTTTGTGTGCTGTATGGGTTTCATGTATCGCTTTTGCAGCGTCGCATACATTAGCGATATTATTACATTGTAAAACAGTTACAAATTGTTTGAATTTTTCATTAAGAATATGAGTATTTTCACATAACCAATAATACATATGATCTATGCATTTTTCAAAATCGGATAAATATAATAGAGTTGGCGGTTTCTTATATAAAGAATTATTGGATAATCCTATTTTTATAATATTCGAATCAGATATTTTAACCACTTCGAATGTCAAATCTTGAATCCGCAATGGGATTTCAGTCGATTGTAGAAGCCGTTCAATATCCGCACATTT